TTTACCCCCATTGTTATACGAACTCGACAATTATTGCCAGAACTTTTTTTCAACAAATAAGAATGCTGCCCATTAGGTACAGCTTCATCAGCCATTCGAATGTCATTAAAAATTACATTCAATTATAACTACTTGTTTCAATTATCATAACATCCTGAATATTATACAGTAAATCATTCACCGCATAGTTTAGAATACTAGAAATTCGTTCAATTTCATGATACTCCAAACATATGTTTCCTTATTGTTTTGTTACAAAATATGTATTACGTGTATTACAATAAATCAAGGGATTTAAACAAGAATAAAACTGTATTAGCGATCACAGTATAAAAAGGAAGGGGGTTTTGTATCGTATAGTTTTGCTTCTTCCAACACTTCGCTATTTTTAAGTCCTTTTCATTTGAATTTGAGGAAAATGTCATGAACTTTGAGAATAATAGGATCATAATTTATAATTCATCTGTCAACTTTTTTCAAGTTCATGATATCTTTATTACCCAGCAGTGGTCCACAAAATCTAGTATCAAATCGAACTTTTGTCTTTAATGTGAATCAATAGGAATGAATTTGCTATGCTTCAAATGACAAATTAGTATAATCCTGTTTTTATTATTTGTCATTAATATTATCGTCACTTCACTGTCATAAATAAAACTATCCATATGGTGCATTTACTGGAATGACCTTTAACAAATTGCTTAGTCTTGGAATCAACCATGATTGTAAAGGTACAGTATATTAAAAATTCATAAAGGTGGCTTTTACATTGTTCTTTAATTTCTTTAAAACTGGATATCATAAGTACACTTTGTTGCGAATGCTTTACCGTCACTAGCAGAGCTGCTAGTTCTACTTTTAATCAATGCTACATGAACAAAGGCTACTTCAGCACGGTTCTAAAGAAAACACAAACAGTTGTCGATTGTCTCCAACATTGTATTGTCACGAATGAACTTATACTTTCAATGTTAAGTTTGGAGTCACTTGGTGCTGAACTTTCCTCCGGATTTGTCTATCTTACTGACAATGAATGAACTGATTTACTATTTGCTAAAGTAGTTGTAAATGCTTTTAATGTAGGTGATATATATGATATATTCACCTGCAAACGAACCATATACTTAAGTAGATATCAAATGTAACGTCCGAAGTCTCAATGCATCACGTACATACCAACGAACCACATACTTAAGTAATATTTTCGACATCGGCAAAAAAAAATATTCTTGAACGCACGAAGTATTACATTTCCAATGTTTCGTGATCAGGCTTTCTTACTTTAAAAAGTTTTACTCTCTTATTCAAAAAGTTTAAAAGCATTGTTGAACTCGTTTTCTTCCTAAATAGTTATGACAAATTTCCGCTGGATAACACAAGTCGATCCCTACCTATATGTAGTTGGTTGTTGTAATAAAATAAAATAAAATAATTTCTTATTAATATTTTCCTTTTGATAATAAAAGTTGATATTATACTGTCTCGCATGATTTTTCACATTTTTCATACTATTACTAATACTGATTACCTGACGTTATCAACCTTCTTCTTTCAAGTGAGTGTTTTTGACAGTTTTGACAGTTTTTATTTTATTTTTTTTGTAATTGCTTTATTTGATACTTTATTTAAATGCAAAATAGCAAATAAAAAAAGTTGTTGTCATAATTAAACAATCAGTATTAACGTTTTAGATTTTGAATATTTATATATTGCAAGAAAATTGACATACGGAAAAATAAGATCTATTCATGCAGAATTAATAAAACACTAGATTTTCGTACTTTAAGGACATAAATACTGAAATGAAATATTCTCTATATATTTTAGGGCCGATTTGTTTCACTTACAAACAAAAATTAATATTCTTCTAGAGATTTAATATTGAAGAGTCTATATATTTAGTACTTGATTTTTTCACCAATTTTTCATATATGCGCCAATTTACAAATAATGATATAACGGAAACGTTTTAATATAAGTTGTACCCTGAATACGATGCTCGTATGTGAAATGCGTTTGTACATTTTTTAGAACTCACATTTATGATATCTAATATATTGAAAAAAGGAAACAAATCGTAAAGATGAACTCCAAATAGTTGCAAAGCCATAATCACAACAGATGTGGACAGCAAAACCATTAAAATATCAATCATTGAATGATTCTGTACAGTCAACCAGCATAAAGTACCATCTCAGCGTTTATTGATGAATGTGATTTATGATGAATATGTTAGATTATGCTAGCACAACTATGTTGTAATATCATTATCAAAAGTCTATTTTTGATATAGATATATTATTTATACAATTTACCTGTTTTATTGGCGCAAATGAAATGTATTATTTTGACGCGAATGAAATATGGTTTGGGCGCTGCCACAGGGCGCAAATGAACGATATTTTTGGCGCAAAAGAAAAAGCACATTACGAAAAACAATATGTAGTTTTACTTCCAACATAACTTAAGCTTTGACAAAGAATTTCCTTGTTATACATTTTTAATGAATATTTAGATAAATACTCAAAATTTACCAAAATCTGCCAAAATTGTGGTTTTCGCTTATCTTCAGACGTCTGTAATTTGATTAGAAAAAAACAATAATATTGTTAAATCCCCAAACTACTCACTTGTAACTTTAATATTCTAAATTTGATAAAAGATTGAAACATTCAAATGGCCCTGTGGTCAAATGAATCGGGGGATATTGACCCTACTTATTACTGTAGACTCCGTCCTCTTTCACAGATAATATTTACCTAATATTTTCTTATCAATTAATTTACAATTCTGACTTTTGTATCTATCTAACTATAGTAAACATTTGTCTCCGAAGGAACTTAAGACCCCTTACGGCTTCCGTAAGGAGCACTTCTATGTTTGCTGTGATTTTATTTCTTTAAATATAATAAAATATAAAACATTTGCTATCTATAAAAAAGGTGCAAAAAATTGAGTGCTTAAAATATTCTTTTGTTTATCTTAGGATGTCTTAAATTTATTTTTTCATATTGTTTTCATTTTCAAAACAAAACATGCGAAATTATTGAATACAGTTTTGGGCACGATATATAATCAAAGTACTGAAGTACTGAACATCGGATGACCGCAAGTTCTGGTAGATGGTCACAAGCACTTGTCTCAGAAAAAAAATCACATCTCTATACCTGAAAGTTAGGTTAAGGTACATAGATATATTTTTTCTGAGACAAGTTCGTGTGTGGATGATGAATAAATGACAGGGAGTTCAACCTCACCGTAATAACTATTATATTGTCGTGATATAATCATTTGTTATCAGTATACTGGTTTGTTGTTATATATTATATTATTATTTGTATAACAGTTATTATATATAATTTTCATCCATTTGTATATCATTCAATTCTACTATTCTAATGATAGTGCAGTGCGAGTGCATGGTGGACACTCTTCTGTAATAATTCGTTTTTCTAATAGATTGGATTTGAGTAGGCATTCATATTTTCCCGAGTTTGTTGCAAAACGTTCTTGAGATATTCTTCCGCATGCGTTAACACAAATTTGCGGTATTCTTGATTTGTTATTGATATATATATTTCTCACTACAAAACATTTTCATATCATTTATCTATGTTCTTTAACATTATTTTCATGAATATTTATTGATGAAATTAATGTATAACAAGCGATAAGGAATGTTATTTTGCACTCGATAATATCCGCGTAATTATACGAAATTCGTTCGGTTATCAGTCAAAAACGCAAGTCACATGGGTAGAAATGTCTGTGGCAACATAACACCGGAATGCCCTCACGGTCATCCGATGTAACACTTGTAAAACTAATAAAATTGTAAGGATATAAGAAAAGATATTACCATTTTGAATTCGTTAATTAAATACTGCTTCTAACAATTTCTACTTCTTATTTATTTTAACTTTAAGTGCAGAGGTTAAGAGACAAATTGTTTACTTTTTATTACACATTGTGACTTGGATGGATAGTTGTCTCATTGGCACTCATACCACGTCTTCTTATTTAATACTTTATTTAGAATACAGTCATATGTTCACAGTAAACAAATAAAAATAGCATGTCATAGTCGAAATAAAAAAAAAAATACTGGCATTGGAAGTCAAGCAACGCTCGTTAACAAAATTAACTTTTTTTTATAGATTCTTGGTGTAGAAAACTTAACTCTATCATCTACGATAAAAACAAACGTTGTTTCTTTCAGACGTTAAGTTTATAAAATAATTGATACATATATTTATTGATAACTGGAGACTTACTAACAAATGGACTTTAACTTAAGAGACAAAATGGACAGAAAATGGTAAATCTATGTTCAACATTCATGGTTTTGAAGGACAATGTAATTAAAGCCTACCTTTCAGGTGCAGCTGTGACCTTGACCTTGACTTTAAACATAGGTAATCAACGCCTCGTTTACCAGCATATTTTCAATGAAAAGGCAAGGAAACTTTGTTGAGGAGGAAAAAAAAATCGATAGGGTTCTTGCTTTTACTATGAAGTACAGGAATACTAACTTGTGAATAGTAAATATGTTACTGCAAAGTGTACAATGGCATTTCTGATCTTGCTTTTATCGGGTTTTATGAAGGTAAGTAGCCTAAGGTATAAAGGCTGAAAAGATAGACAGTAGCATTGCTGATAGAAACACAAAGCATATAGGGTATCCATCCATGACACAAACTCAGTACATGCACAGCAGAAAACATACTACAAGCAAAGGAAGGGCGCTTTTATTGCTGTTCTTCATCTCAAAGTCACAGTGAGGCCTTCAATGTGGAGCAACAAAAAACTGTAAAAATTGTTTATGCATGCGATTCACATAGCGACACCGTTTAAAAAAAAATATACATGAAGATGTCCAAGGTGGTACATAAACAAAAGACATAATGTTACATTAACTAAACTGGCTTTAAAGGGGACTAATACCACCCACCCCATAGAGTTATGTAACACTCAAAAAAGATTCTTGAGAAACTTGTCAAATGGGGCATTACTTCCTTAAAGCAAGTCTAGGACAATTACAGGTATGTGTATGATTAGGCTTGGCAAGTGGATCATTTCAATTAATGAAGGAAAAACTTTGAAATTTGCTTGAAATCGACAAAAAGGGCAATACCTCATATAAGGAGTCATTCTAAAGTTTAAGACCTTCTAAATAATAATAATCCCTGAAGAATTGAACCCAAACTTCTCTTTCCAGCTATTATTGTTTTCAAATGATTAGACAAACGCTTCAATTTTTATAAAATTTGTCAAAAAGAGCTCTTCTCCTATGAGGATTCATAAAAGAATTTCAGCCAAAATGTATAACTTCAGAAGAGAAATCGTTATCTAATGCAAATAGTAATAATAAACTCGCCGACGGCTCGTTTATCAGTATATCAAAATTAAATAAGAATGTACAGAAACAAAACATTTTAAATTTTTTTTTAACCTGTCTCCTTCAAAAATAGCATTATGATTTATATGTATATCCCGACAGTAATCTTAAAAGCATAAAAAGGTATATTAGTCTCGGAACAGCCAAGTCTTGACCAGCTATTTTCCAAATTTTTTCCAGTCTGTCTTCCGGGAAAGGTCCGGATTTCATCTACCAAAGTCCGGGTACAAGTGCGTTCTATTTTTCCCCCAATTGTCCGACAAAGCAAAGGTGTCAAGTTAACAATTTTGCAACAAAAACATCAGTTCAGCGATAAAGGCCTAATTTATATGTATGTTTATGTGTTTCGTGTCAACCCCTATAACAGATTAAGTTTTCAAATAAAATACTTCCGCCCGCGGTATGATTGTGTGTTTCGTGTCAAACTCTAACAAAATAAGTTTTCAAATAAAACACTCGCGGTATGATTATGTGTTTCGTGTCAACCCCTAACAAAATAAGTTTTCAAATAAAACACTTCCACCCGCGGTTAATTATGTGTTTCGTGTCAACCCCTGACAAAATAAGTTTTCAAATAAAATACTTCCGCCCGCAGTATGATTATGTGTTTCGTGTCAACCCCTAACAAATGATAAGTTTTCAAATAAAACACTTCCACTCGCGGAATGATTATGTGTTTCCTGTCAACCCCAACAAAATAAGTTTTCTAATAAAACACTTTTGCCCGCGGTATGATTATGTGTTTCGTGTCAACCCCAACAAAATAAATTTTCTAATAAAACATTTTTGCCCGCGGTATGATTATGTGTTGCGTGTTAACCCCAACAAAATAACTTTTCTAATAAAACACTTTTGCCCGCGGTATGATTATGTGTTTCGTGTCAACCCAAACAAAATAATTTTCAAATAAAACACTCCCGCCCGCGGTATGATTACCGAGTCACATGAGACTCGGTATAATTAGTCATACGCTTCAGGTCACAATGGGATAAATCTGTTAATGGATTCTCATTGGTAAATATTAGCTTGTTCCGTTATGATGTTAAGGCTTTCTTAACGTCTGATTGGTTAATATTAGGATGCATCTATTATATGTGAGCGTATCCGTAAGTGAGGCTGGAAAAAATCAAGATAGTAGGTCATGAAAATGATAGTGAAGTGTTCAATCAAGTTGATAGTGAAGTGTTGAATCAATATTTTAATGACGCAAGGTCAAACGCAAAAGTGATTCAGGTTAATTGAGTTTTGCTCTGTCTTTATAATTTAATTTTGTTTGCATCAGATATAAATATTAGTTTACCTTTCATATTCATAACTGATTTGTTAGTGTATTTTAGATCAGTTCCTGATTTACAAATCATCAATTAAGTTACAGTTACCACTCATGTGTATCGTTATACAGGATAATAATATTACACACTTATCTATAAATAGCCGAAACAGCGATTTCGTTTTAGGGTGTATAGAAATGCGCACGTAGTGATTTAACTAATTTACGCTATACAGTTTAGTAACCCAGTGTCGTGATTGTGCAGAGCCATTTATAAATGTTACGTTAATAAAAACATGTAAATATATGAAGGATCGCGTATGCATCTGTATGTAGTTAACACAAATTAAAGCTAAGTACCTATTAACTGATATAATTCAAAAGCATAAAAAAATCTGAAAACAGGTATCTTCAAATGACTTATTTTCAATTAATTTTAATTTTCTTTTATCCCGGCGCTATAGGATAGTATAGACTAGGGATGGGGTGATGTAGACATGCGTCGAATTCCATTTCACACCAACGTCTAGCACGGTACAGTGAAGTTCTGATGCCAAAACGGTCAACTTATAAGGTAATCTTTCAAAGGGGAAAATAATAAGACTTGATACGGTTAATACAGATAATTTTTTTGGGAAGGGAGGAATATTATACACACATAGGCGTCGGTACAGTTCCAGTGGCTTGGTTTTCTCAGTCTCGTAAGGTGTTTTGAAAGCAGGTATATATATATATACCGTTTCGATCCCTACCATCACTGAAGAGACATTAATTGTCGAAATCCGGATATAGTGTACAAATTTTTGCACCTCATGTTTGCGGTAAACCATCTTTTCCGAAAGTTTATTGTTTTCTGTTTGGTATTAAATTAATAATTAAGATCCATGTTACATCTCGTGATCAATTTATTTAGCAATCGTCAATGGGAGTCAGCAGGGTTTAAGAACATCAGTTGTTCGGCCTGTTAGTCAAATGCAATTTGTTAAAATATACTTTTCACTTTTTTGGTCTTTTGGAAAATGTTGTTTGTGCTGTATTCAGACCCATCTACCAAGAAATTTGTTTTACATGCACACTTATAAAAATAGCGGTTTTTATCCAACGCAATCATAGGTTTGAACGTTGTTTTTAATTTAGACTTGTTTATATTTTTTCGTTTGGGCTTGTATTATATTTTCCTTCGGGTTTATATGAGCCGTTCATCCTATTTCGACTCTTTAAAATTCAAGAGTCTATCCTAAATTGAGGTAAATTATATGGCCTTCCAAATACCGTTTCGATCACTAACATCACCGAAGAGACATTAATTGTCGAAATCCGGATATGATGTACAAATTTTTGCACCTCATGTTTGCGGTAAACCATCTTTTCCGCAAGTTTATTGTTTTCTGTTTGGTAATAAATTATTATAAGATCCATTTTGTTACATCTGGTGATCCGTTTTTTTTTGCAATCGCCAATGGCAGTCAGCAGGGTTTAAGAACATCAGTTGTTTCACTTTTTTGGTCTTTTGGAAAATGTTGTTTGTGCTGTATTTAGACCCCTCTACAAAGAAATTTGTTATACATGCACACGTATAAAAATTGCGGTTTTTATCCAACGCAATCATAGGTTTGAACGTTGTTTTCAATTTAGACTTGTATATATATATATATATACATATATATATATATAAGTCTATAAAAAGGACCATCCAGCAAATTTACTATGTATACCGGATCGTCTGTGCAAATTAGGAAAAAATTATATAAGTCTAGAGATTTGCACAACGATACTAATAAGATGGTATTATACGAAGATATTGTTATTAAATCGTGTTGACAAATATTTCGGCTTAACAAATAGCCTTCTTCGGTGTCCCTGAAGAAGGCTATTTGTTAAGCCGAAATATTTGTCAACACGATTTAATAACAACATCTTGTGATCCGTTTATTTGGCAATCGCCAATGGTAGTCAGCAGGATTTAAGAACATTTGTTGTTCGACCTGTTAGTCAAATGCGTTTTGTTAAAATATACTTTTTCACCTTTTTGGTCTTTTGGAAAATGTTGTTTATGCTGTATTTAGACCCCTCTAACAAGAATTTTGTTATGCATGCACACGCATAAAAATTGCGGTTTTTATCCAACGCAATCATAGGTTTGAACGTTGTTTTCAATTTAGACTTGTTTATATTTTTTCATTTGGGCTTGTATTATACTTGCCTTCGGGTTTATATGATCCGTTCAGCCTATATTGACTCCACAAAATTCAAGAGTCTATCCTAAATTGAGGTAAATTGTATGGCTTTCCAAATACCGTTTCAATTCCTAACATCACTGAAGATACATTAATTGTCGAAATCCGTATATGGTGTACACAAACCTTTGCACCTTTTGTTTGCGGTATACCATCTGTTCAGCAAGTTTATTGTTTTCTGTTTAGTATTAAGTTTATAATTAAAATCCATTTATTACATCGGTGATCCGTCTATTTGGCAATCACCAATGGCAGTCAGCAGGATTTAAGAACATTTGTTGTTCGACCTGTTAGTCAAATGCGTTTTGTTAAAATATACTTTTTCACTTTTTTGGTCTTTTGGAAAATGTTGTTTGTGCTGTATTTAGACCCGTCTAACAAGTTTGTTTTGCATGCACACGTATAAAAATTGCGGTTTTTATCCAACGCAATCATAGGTTTGAACGTTGTTTTCAATTAAGACTTGTTTATATATATATATATATATGTAGGACTCTAAAGTGCGATGGTTGTCTCAAGTGCGATGGTCATGCTAAAGTGCGATGGTCTACGCTAAAGTACGATGGTGTCTCACGCTAAAGTGCGATGGTTGTTTGTTTTGCTAAAGTACGATGGTATATCACGCTAAAGTGCGATGGACCAAAAGGGTAAGGTTAGAGGGCTTAAAACTTTAAAGTACATGGATGTTAAAACATAGTCTTTTTTGCAAAAGCTAGTATGCTAAGGTATAACATACGTAGGCCGACCACGTAATAATTGCTAAAAAGGTAATTTAGGTGTCACAAAATACTATATTTCCTGTAAATGAATTTTTAACAATTCGGGCGTATTAAATATTTGGATATTTGGTGTAGCTTACTGTTCACACAGTCTATCACTAATGTGAACATCTCCCCTTACAGTCGTTATTGTAAATTACAAATACAAAATTTGTTCATTGTCGGAATATGTAACATTTATTTGTATAAGCTTTTAATTAATTTGGATGCGAGAGAAAGGCGATGTTCGCCGAGCTTTCTCCTTTTTCATAGCGAATACAAATACATGTTTTATTTTTATACAATGTACAAACTAATGTTGTAGCCGACAATTGATAATTTACGCTTGAAGACATGTACCTTACTTTTTAATAAAATC